TGATAACTGATTAAAGGAGGTGTGTGTGCCGCCTCACTGTGCAAATCCACAATGAAAAGATATCATGCTTGCACAGATTCCTTTTATCTCCAAAGATAAAGTCTTAGCATCCTTGCCCTTTATAATGATAGTAGTAGCATTAACATTTATTATCCTGTCTTCCTTTAAAAATGGTATAATAAGACAAAGAAGTGAAAGAAACTGTCTGAAGACTCAAAGAAGTCATTTATTGAGTCAGGAGCTACAAGCCCCATAGATTGTGATGGAAAAAAAGCATGAGCAAATATAATCGACCCCTTTATTACAGTATCAGTGAAACTTTGTATTGAATAATTAAAACAAGACAAATAGAGGAGTGTGGCACTAGCAATCAGGGGTATGTAACACAGATGATGAATAACTCTTAACCCAGGAGCAACTAAGCCATTACATTTCCTCAAGCCAAAAGAGACCAAAGGGGGAAATAAAAATAAATTAGGCTAAAAGACAAACTCTGGGTGTTTATAATTTTCTAGGTGTTATATATTTAAAAAGGACATTTTGAAATTGCACAAAAACAAAGTAGTGTAACAGTCTGTGTACAATCATATTTATAGTGTCCCTGTCAATCCTTCTGCGAGCTCTTGGCAATCTGAGCCAGGGACACCTAGATACTGGTATCCCACACACACCTGCTCCATTCTGTAATCCCAGATTATATACTAAGCCATCCTATCTTTATAATCAAGTAATCAAGACCAGAAGAGTAGAATTGCATAGAACACCAAAGAAACTACCGAATTAGTGGTATTATAAGCATCGCTATCAACTAAATTCTGTCTAGCCAGTACCATTTACATGCTTCTTGTAACCTGTTCTTTTGGTCTACTTCCCTCTTTTGTGTCTGGATGGCATCCCTCCGAGACAGTCACAATTATAGCCTGTGATACTTTGACTCATTTCTACAAACACCTCACCTTGGTAACTCAAGATGTGACCATTTGGGAATAGAGACAATGCAAACATAATAGTCATGATAAGATCATGCTAGAGTAAGGTGGTCCTATCCAATGTGGCTGCATCTCTTTGACAAAAGAAAACAAAGATACCTCCAACAACATAGAAAGTGGCTATGTGGTTTTAGAGGCAGATACTGAGGTGATGTTTCTTCGAGCTAAGAAAGAAGGAATGGTACACAGCTCAGAAGATCCAAGGGAAGTGAGACTTTTCTCTGAGATATAAGAAACAGCACAGCCCTGAAGCCACCTAGGTCTCAAGTTTCTGGATATCAGAGATGAGAAGCAGTGAGCATCATCATACATCACCCAGACTGTTCTTTGTCTTGGCACTTCTGAGAAGACAATTCATCTCAGTAGATCACACACCATGGGTCTCTGTAACTGCACAACACACTTTCCTTATGCCCACCAGGAAAAGTTCCTATTTTCTTATGAAAGAATATTCAAAATCTTTGAATTAAAAATATACACAACAAAAATATCTGATAGTTTGCTATAACAAAAACTTTACTCAAAAGCAGATAAGCCCTTCATGGCCACCAACACACCAAGAAGAGAGAAGACTGCCCTAGTCTTGGCTTCCTGTTACTATACAGAACCATTACTCCCATGAAACCTTGGCTTCCTTTGTTTCTCACTCTCTCCATGTTCTGCTTCAGCATCCACAATCCCTCCTTAGCTATGATTTTGTGAGAATGGCCTTGAGGGTTGGTATTTTAGTTCCTGATCACTAGACCAAGGTTCCTGCTGCGCTTCCGCACAAAAGATCTCTACTGGTATCAGAAGCACAATGTGTCCTTGCCAAACCCATGTTCCCCACTCAACACCAGTCTTCCCATTATGGTTCTGTGACTGGACTTGCTTTCTTTCAACCACCCAGCTACAGAATTTTGTGGCCAACTATAACTTTTCTCCTGACCTTCAAGATCTACATGTAATCAGTTACCAAGTTCCATAGACTTGATCTCAGAATGTCTCTTGTATCTGTTGACTTTTCTATCGTTTCTACTGTCACAGCTTCATTTTAAACCCAAACTGATACTGTTGAGACCCCCTTCTCTTATGGATAGATCCTGATAGATTTTTCTCAGCCCTCAAAAGTTTCTGGTATTATCTAGAACACCAAGAATAAATAAATATCTTTTGATGTAAAGTACTTAGAGATGTGTCATTGTCTGGCTTTCAGTTTTATTTCCCATACCTCATCATATACTATACGCTAGTCAAACTTTGCTTTGTGAACCTATATTGGTATAGGGTTTCGTTTGTCATTTGTTTGATAGTTTCTCCCTTAAAAGAGATAACCAATATATTTCTAGGTTGACACTAAGACATCTAGAATATCAAATGTCTCCTATATCTCCTTCACAAGGATATTGTCAAAAGATGAGCCATCATTAGTGTGTATTCATGACTATCATTTACACATAATCTTCATTCTTCCAGATTCACAAAGACTACTTCCAGAAACTCAGATTCTGTTAAAATGCAAAACACTCTAATTAAGCTGGATGTACAATGTGTCACTGAATGAATTTTCATTTTGCTATAATTCCATTATTATATACCCAAGTTAATCAGAGCTAAAACATAGGATGCCTCAACTTACACTGAAATTTCTTAGCAATCAATATTGCTGAAGAGAGAAACTCAGAACAGAGCGTGGAAGTTTCTTTAAAAAAAAAATGAGAGAATACAAACATTGAGTTGAGTGAATACATAATTTTAATTATGGGCAGATACTCCAAAAACTGACTGTATACCCCTCTCTCTCAGTCAAGACATTCAAATTCCTCTATACACATTACTAGCATGGTGACAGAAATTCCATCAGTGATTCCATAAGAATGGCAAATGTTACAGAGCTGATGAATTTTCATTAGAGTCATCAGATAACTCCAGAATGGGTTAAGTTGCTACTATTTGTCATTCCCATTAATATCATTGTCATGTGAAAGGTTGAGTTTTCAGCTATTTTTGTTCTAGAAAAAATCTTTGTCATTAAAATGAGGGATGATTCTGATATTTAATATATTCCATGGCATACTCTGGCATGATACTAATTTGGCCTTTTCAGCATTCTGCATATTAAGTGACAATCCATCCCTCCTACATCCCCTACATAAGTGAGAACTGAAATAGAATGGACAGCCAATCAAGTCACAGAATACTGAAAGGATCAACACAGCAAAAAAAAAAAAAAAAAAAAAAAATGTGCTGCTCTAATCAGGAGCATGCATGAGGTGCTAAAGTGATTTTCTCCCATACTAATGACTAAGATAGAACCAGCAATAATGAATGTTCTTATGGGACAGCACCCCCTGAGTCTTCTTATGAGATAGTATTACCAAAGCATAGCCATGCATCTTAGAAAGATAATCAAGTATTTCTTATTTTAGTCAATAAAACAAACTAAAATTGTACTCTCACTTAACTTTTAGAACAACAGATTACATCAGATTCTACAATAGGCAAATTATGTCCTTATTGAATTTTTCATAGTAATCATTTTCATGCATACAAAATGTGTCCCAACATTGAAGAATGCCCAGAGTCACTGTAGAAAACTTATTTCAATACATACTCTATTATTTTCTTCCAAATGTTGAATTATCACTCTGGTAAGAACAGACATCAGCTGCTTGAATAATGTATTAACCCTGCTTCCAGAAGCTATTGTTTTCATCTGAGTGGGCATTTCCTTTAAGGATAAACATGGGACTTTTTTCCAAGAAAATAATATAATTTAAAGTTTAATGGAAGCCTTTGAATCTTTTTTATAGCTGTAATGATACAACTTAAAATTCCAAAAAGCAATGATTACAGTATCATAGACTCAGTTGGCATGAACACTTGTCCAATTAAATCAATTAACCCCATCTTTTGACTAGACTAGTCTCTCTCTATAGTTTGTGCCACATGCAACCATAGAATACGTGTTAAATATAAAAAGTACTGTGCATAATAAATTTTCCTGGCCTACTACGCCCAGAAGAAGGCTTCAGGCATCTATGACTCTCAAGTGAAAATTGTTCCAGGTAATTACGGTCAAATCTCAGTCATTCCCATGCTCTTCTCCTGAACTGAAACTTCCAACCATTGACTGATCATTTCCTTCCTGAAGTTCAAAAGGGCTTAAAAGTAGTTAAGAGACACCTTAGTACTTCCACCACATCATGATCACCAATACACAAAAATACCGATTCTCTTTAATAAGATAGGATTTAAATAACAATGATATGTCTCCTTCCATCTACTAAGTACTAGCAATGACTAATTGTCAGTAAGATTTATTCTCTATGCTGCTTTCTGTTGTCATTCTGTGTTCTCCTGAGAAATAGAATGGGTTTACAGCCTCACAGGAAATATACATGTGGGTGAAATATCTACATAGGTTTGAAAAGCTCTTTGAAGAAATCCCAGGACAGAGCTTGCCAGCATTTTGTCCTGGTTAAGTTTTCACAATTTTCCCTTCATCTCATGATAGGCTCTAGACTTTTATATATAAATGAAGGATGGAAAAAGCAAAATATGACAATGAGAGTATAACAGGACTACCCGTGGGGACTGATCTAATATTGCTTTAAGGTAATTATAAGCACTGATCCCTCTAGTGTTCCATGTCAAATTCCACTGACTTTTTTTTTTAATTTGATGACTTGCTAATGTAAACTTCTTTCTAGAATAATCAAATGGTATGTCATTTATTCAAATTCACTGTGGCTCTAAGATGCCTGCAAACTCCCTCATCAAAACAGACATCTCAAAAGATGTTTACTGAAGTTGGGGTTTCTATTTCTTAAATTAGCACCAAAGAGTCACCTTTCTAGAAATAAGAACAATGAACCTGTCTATAATCTTGCTTCCCCATACAGAGAGCAGCCTGGGCCACATATTTGTGAGAGCATTTATATCTCATAGACATCAGACAGCTCTTGGAGGTACCCAGATTTTAGCAACCTGTCACCTCCAAATGTAATCAACTGGTAAATACATGCTCACCAATCTCCCTTGAGATCTGAGTGAAGGCCTCAACACCACTCTCTCCATAGTTCCCTTCGGAAGCCAATGTTGACACGTAATTCCATCCCAGGGCCGTCACAATGTCCACCATGGCTTGGGCTTGGTAGGAGTCAGGCGGGACCACCCGAGAAAAAAAGTCATACCTGGTGTTGTCACTCAGCTCTGGGGCTGTGGATGCATAGCTAATTTGAGGTATCTGCAAAACAAATGAGAGAGCATTTCAATCCATGGTGTGTCTTGTACAATGCTAGATTAATGCAAGAGACTAAATGGTCAGACCTGTAACGGAAACCTAGATGTGTCAGTCTGAAGGCAACATATGGTTTTAGGACCACCAATTTAATTAGAAATAATTTCCTAACAGTCCATGGGCTTTACTTCCTTTTGAAGCACAGATGCATAAACATTGAGAAACAGTTTAGTTTTGCTTCAAGTTCCTTTGTGTTGAAGGCCAAAGGAAAGCATTTTTGCTTTTTGTTACTGCTTTTTTTTTATTATATATGAGATTGTTCTGGTGTAGAAATGAAACACACATCAGAGAAAGTCACCATTCTCTTTGGTTTTAACACATAAAAGGTATGTGATAATTTAACACGAGGAGTTTTTGTTGTTATTGTTTTGCTTTTTATTTTATTTATATTTTGACACTTGATACCACTTACATTTTAAGATCATAATTTGATAATTTTGTTTTTGTTTTTATTTGATGCAAGGTCTCACTATGTAGTCCTGGCTATCCTAGACTTGAACCCATAGAGACTGGCCTGCCTTTGCCTCCCAAGTGCTGAGATTAAATGTTTGTGCCACCATACCTAGCTGTAAATTACTTTAAGTGCATACTTTTTCTATTCTCCTCACTGATTATTGGTATAGTCATTGAATAACACAAGAATATTTGTAACTAGTGAACTGTATGTCTTCCAATAAAAACATATTTCCAGCTCATTAAAAATCATCACCTAGAAAAAGCATCTGGATGGTAAATTCCTTAGGAAAAGAGAGTGTTTTCTGACACCAACAGGATAAATTGCTACAGAGTTTTTTTAAAATTGAGAATCCTATGTCATTTCTCAAAAATCTGAGAGTGTGCACTGTGCCTGGGCATCTCATCACTCTTCAGTCACCATCCTAGGTGGGGGCATAAATTAAGAGGTCAAAAAGACTCCAAGATACCCTAACTCAAGTAGTTTCTTTAAAATACAGCTTAGCACATACATAGAACTTTATTCACCATGAGACTCTACAGATAACAAAATGTCTATGCCAGCACCCTGAATACGTCCATACCCTCAAATTAAATCCCTGGTGGCAACTGAAGTGAGAGTTTTCTGAATTCTTAGGCTCAAAGGAGATGTCAAAAAGAGTTATTCTGGCTTGCCACAAAAGGTTGTAGATCTCAAGGATCTAATGGTCACTCACCAGTCTCTAACTAGTTGGCTTCCAAACCATTCTTAACATTTTTGCAGATCACTCGACATCTGGATAACAGCTCTAAGTTCACAGAATCTTGCTCCATATTAGTGCCCAGTGAAGTGACTCCAAGTTACAAATAAAAGCTTTATTCATACCTAGCCCAAGCAAGTGGGATCTCACTCACTCCAGACTGACAGCTGGGGAACCTGCATGGGACCCTCAATGTAGGTGACAGTTTATGGTGCCGCTGGCAATGGAACCAGTATGTATCCCTTTTGGAGCCAATTCCCTATGGAGGGATACCTTGCTCAGCCTGGATGCAGGTGGGAGGACCCTGGTCCTGGCACAAATGATGTAAAAGACTTGGGTGCTTCTCCATTGGAGGAAGGCCTCACTCTCTCTGACGAGTGGATGGGTGTGGGGACAGGTCCTGGAAGTGGGAGGAAGTGAGGAAGAAGGGGAAACTGGGACTTTTAGGTAAAATGAGATTGTTTTTAAAAAGCTTTACCCATTCTCAGAAGCAAAACCATGTGCCAGGAGCTGTCCAGGTTCTGAAAGCTGTTCAGCCTCTGCTCAAGCTGGCTCCAACTTTCTTCCTATTTCAGCAGTGGCAGTGACTGCTCAAGTCAGCCATTTACTAAATTCTCCCTGGCTTCTTTTCCTGGTGTGGATCATGTTAACTTCCTTTACATGGTGAGACCATAAAAGCTGCCTGAGCCTCCTGCGGCTGCTCTTTGCTTTCTCTTCTGGACATACTAGCCCTGTCTTGACAGACAGATGTCTTTATTGGGCCCTGTGCCTTTGTAGTATGTGAGGACTCAGCAAGACACATCTACAACTCTCAAAGCACAACAACCCTAGCCATCTTCACCTTTTTTCCCCTTGCTTCTAGAAAATCTGTAGAAGAGATCCTGGACACTCAGTGAGCTCTTCCCATGTCCTATACTAGATATAAAATTCCCAAAAACCAATCTCATATGCATTCCTATACTCTAATAAAAATGATTCTGAAGATTAATACTGAGAGAGAGAGAAGAAGATCCACATCCCCTCCTTCCCAGGGCTCTCCATCCTGGGCAGGGAGGAGAAAATATGAACATGCCCAGTACTGTTAAGACTGAGCACAGGCCCTGCACCTCACCTGGGCAGCACAGTAGAGCTGACCCTGTTGATAGGGCATGGGTGAGCCACACAGAGAATAAAAATGGGAGAGATCTGGCCCTGTCCCTCATTGGCCATATGGTGGCATGGGCAGATTGACCCCTGCACCTTTCATGGGCAACACAGTAGAGCTGGTCCTGATGGTGTAGGTGTGGGTGAGTGGCCTAGAGGGCATGAGAGCAGGAGAACCAGCCCTACTTCTTGCTGCTTACTGATTAGGATGAGCTAGCCTGAGCAGTGCTGGAGAGCTCACCCTGGTAATGAGGGTGAGGATGAGGATGAGCTGGGGGCTGACCAACCAGCAACCACCAGACCCATGGTCATGAGTTGGCTCATCCCAGCATCTACCCTATCTATGACCTGTTGGAGACTATGAAGGTCCCAGTCCTACAGACCCAAAACTGCTGGATCTCCATGACACATGACAGCAACAGGCTATCCAAGAGGAGTTCCAGTGAGGTCCCAGTAACAGTAACGATGGTATAGTAGAAACCAGGGGCTTCAAACCAGACTAATAACTCATTGCAATGAGCAATGTAAAGTAAAGATGTACCGATTAAAGGATATGCTGTATGACACACTAAAGCTTTCATAGCAAGACCTTTCTGCTTTTTTCTTTTCTTTTAAATTTTGTTTTATCTTAGGCAGGGATGGGAATGCAAAGGCAGAGAGTGGGTTTGAAGGGATGGGGAGATGAGTGGAACTAAGATGCGTCAATAAATCAATAAAAAAACTAAATTAGAACAAACAAAGATTCATCAGTCTGATTCAGAGTATGCTGTACTGATGTGAGTATAGGTAGGGGTGGGTAGGTGGAGTGAGATATATTGAGGGGAGTGTGTGGAAGAGAATTCTGTAAAGACTTCTACAGCACTCTACCATGTTCTTGTCCTATTTGGAAACATAGCCCTCCTACTTCCTCTGATCCTAAGAGTCCAGCAGTAAAATGTCTTCCACAACCCCCACCCCACTTGCAATAATGAGCCACCCCTTTCTAAAAATGAGCACAAAGTGTGAAAATTGAGTGTTTGAAACCAAAACTAATTATCTCAAATTACTACCTTCAGTCAGTCACTTCCAGGGCTGTTTAATTAGCAGTCAGCATCATGTTTAGGATTAATTAAACAGGTGTAAAGGGTATATAAAATAAAAGTGCAGATAGGAGATGGTTGTTTGATTAATCCAGTAATGGGCTTTCTCCCCAATGTCTTGAAGAGCTTTCTCTTTGGAGATCGAAGTGCGAAAAAGTAATGTGCAAGAACGTGTTTGCAATTTCATTTGTTCAATTCTTCTATGTTGCAGTCTACAATAGCGTCATGGTATAGTGATAGTATTTCAAGCCAACTTTTCAAACAGTCATGAAGTCACATCCTATTTTTACTTTATTTGCCATAAATCACCAAGCTTTGGCTCACTAAGCATTTTAATTTCTATGTCAGCATCCCCAATATTTCCTCTACCCTCAAATTAAACCCCTACTAGCAACTGAAGTGAAATTTTATTAAATACCTAGGCTGTTTCTTCTTTTCACAGCACCAGATCCATCCTAAGTAGCCCCTTAACTCTGGGGGATTTACCTAATAAAAACAGCAAGAGAGGGGGCTGGGTGAGGGGGAGTGGGGGAAATCGAAGAAACCATTATCAACAACAGGAGGAATTAAGGAACGTGTTTCTCATCCCTCGATTATCCTTCCAAAGAAGTAATGTCCTTCACAGTGTCAAGCCCCACTTGACAATTTTAAGGATAAAGTATACACTCTCATCTGGTTCAGGATACCATTCAGCTCTGCTCATCCCCGCCCCCTTCAAGCCATGTTCTATCGCCAGCAGAAGGAAATGAAGACATAGATCCAGACTTCAATCTGGTGTTGCTCCCTTCCTGTTGCTCTTCTACCGTTAGGCTGGACTCAATTGGAGTTAGAAACGGAAATCCCAGATGGTCAACACCTGCACCCCTGCCCACAGGAGCACCACAGTGAAGGAAGAGTGTGCTCTTCCCTTCCTGCTGATACTGCGCATGCCTCCAAAGCCATCCCTCCACAGGAAGCCCTCCCTGCCTGCCAAATAGTGTTCCTCACTCCTTCAGCTCGTCTCATCTGAAATTAGAATCCTGCCTGGTACCTGGTTTATGATTCTCCCAGAAGTTAGCTCTTTATTTATTTGCTAACTACGATATTCGATGAAGCGAGTATTCAGTAAATGTTTAGAGGTAATTCACTAATTAACTCGTGACAGGAAATGTGGCAAAGCCTCCTGCTGCATTCTGCTACAGTATGGCAAGGATCTTCTCCATTTGCCGATCAACCCTCCCGTGTCTCCTAACAGGCTGCTCTTTATTGCTGTCACCTGGGTTTTCTGTTTACAGCTGCCAGCTGTGTTTGGCCCAAAGGAGACACAGGAGCAAGAACAGGGAGCAAGACCAGCCAGAGGTCAAGATCTATTCCTCCAGCTCCCTTCTCCCAATAACAAGGTGGTCTCTACCCGAGCCTCAGCCATAGATAGCTCTTGCAGGCTCTAATGGACATCATCAACCCTAACCCCTGCGGTTCTACTTACTATTGTCCACCCCTGAGTATATCTTCATCCGATGGTAGTTCCTGTATCTCTGCCCACACCTTATAA